GCTCCTCGAAAGCGCCTTGCTGTGCCTGCTCCTCCAGAGCTCCCTCCAGTGCCAGCTCCTCAAAAGCGCCTTGCTGTGCCTGCTCCTCCAGAGCTCCCTCCAGTGCCAGCACCTCGTAAGCGCTTCCCTGATTCCTCGTTTATCCCAGGATGGGCTCCTGATCCCTAGTTAAGCCCAGGGAGGGCTTCTGATCCCCGGTTAAGCCCAGGGAGGGCTCCTGATTCCTCGTTTAGCCCAGGGAGGTTGACCCGCCCTGGAGGCTTCCCTTGTCTCCGCCCTGTTCCAGTCCTGCACCAGACTCCAGGGCGCCCACCACCCCTCCCCGATGGTACTGTTACGGCGCAGGACGCATCGTCCGGGAGGGGGGGCGATCTGTCATGTGTCATGCCTCACTGGTTATGATTTGTGTCCAGCTGTGTTTCATTAATTAGTTCATTTGCTCCCAGGTGTGTCCCATTAGTTTCTGAGCTTTTAAACCCTGTGTTTCCCAGTGTGTTCTGTCGGCTGTTAAATGTCATCCTGATGTTCCTGTGTTCGGTATCTCCTTGTTTCTCGAATTAAAGTCAAGTTCTGAACGTTCTCCAGTGTCTCCTCGTTCCTCGTTCCTTCCTTCCCCGAGTGACCGTGACAATCACAGGTTCAGCTGTCATTTCCACTCAAGCTTTTTTTGATAGGACAAAACATTTTAAGCACTGGTTTATGATGGGTAATAGTGATATTTAAACTGACATTGTCTAGAAAATGTCTACAAAAAATAGAAAACTCCAAATATGTTTTCTAGTAACAAATACTGTAGTTACACTCTAAAATATGCTGGGTTAAATACAACCCAACACTGGGTAAAATATGGACAAACCCAGCTATTGGGTTGTTTTGACCCAGTGGTTGGGTTACTACCCAGAAGGTTGGGTTAAACATTCCACCCAACCACTGGGTAAAACCAACCCAATAGCTGGGATTGTCCATATTTCACCCAGCGCTGGGTTTTATTTAACCCAGCATTTTTTACAGTGTAGGTATATATTTTTCATGCGGAATATTAGTCTTTATACAAGATCAACTTGACCAATGGATTAGGCAATCTGTAATAACATTCCGTAGACATTTGAAGAATTAATACATCTAATATTAATTAAGCTATTAGCTTGATTTATTTCAAAAGAATGTGTCTAGGATTCTAGGTTCTTGATTTATTTGTTCACAACATTGTATCAATTAATTAATGACACGAAAAAGAATCAACTTTGCATTGCATTCCTCCCTCAGGGGATGGCACAGTGATCTGATGGCTTGGCACACATCTAACCTGTGTCAGTGTTAACCAGGCCAACTGAAATTGTTTATTTCCAAACAACTTAAGTGACTAGATCCCTGTTTACAGAGCAGACTGGCAAACTGTAAAAAATGTAGTCATGGCTCTTTGGAGCCTGAAGTCTGGATTAGTCTTTGTTTTTAACAATATTCTGACTTCCTTGTGTATTACATTCTGATTGTGTTTTCAGTTGAAATATTTTAGTTTTAATCACCACAGATCATATAATTCAGTTCAGTTTCTTGTGTCACTAACATAGGGGTCAATCTGAGCCAATCTTATCTTGGTAAATGTTTATCAGGTAATTTAATTGCTATGGTAAACATGAACTGATTTTTCCTGCTGCCTTCCTACAGTAATTGTGGGTTGTGTTCTGTGATGGTTGGCTGCAAAAGTAAAGTAATGAAACAGCATTCTTTTTGAATTCAATTTTCCTACCACTAAGCTGTTTGAATGGATCTTGCAAGGGTTTTAACTTTTACATTTCACACGAAACATGCTTTCCTCTGCAACAGAGAGACATGATATGTCTAAGATGGCACTTATCATAAATATTGGACCTTCAGCACAGAGCTTTGTGTACTACACACCACAACACACTGTCAAGCCAGACAAAACAACAACAACCTAGGGTGTATAACTTGCAATCAGATCCGCAACTTTCCTCTCAGTGGTAAGTGTTCAACACCACAGTAGAACAATGCTGGAACTCAGCACAACAGCTTGGCCTGGACCTCAATCTTCTGATGTGTTTTTCTGAGCTAAACGTATTGTTTCAACCAGAATACTCAGATTAAAGGTTTCACATTCTTATCATCTGCAATGCAGTCGCAAATCATGTCACGTTGCTCAAGACATTTACCCTGATCAGCTCAAGAAGGTTATTACAATGCTCTAATTTCCATGTCCGGAACAAATAAAAAGTGATAGAGAGAACAGGCATGCTCGGCTTAAGGTCAGCACAGTAGTGAACTGCTCCTCCTGTGTGTCAATATTTGTACTATCAAAGGAGCAACAGAGGAGGTAACAATAATAAACACGATTTTGGCCAGCAGATTCCCAGTATGGGTCAAACACAGTTTAGAGAAGAAAACCAAACACGAAAGTCTAGAATCCTTTTCTTTTATTTAGCTTTGTTCATAAACATTTTTTTTTTTTCAGTACACAACCAGCATTATTGGAATTAGTTTCCATGATTTTCATGAAGTGTTCCACTGTGATAATATCCCTAAGAGTGGTCAACTTAGGTTTTTAGTATTTTATTAACTATTTTCTTTTTGTGTGTGTGTGTGTGTGTGGGGGGGG